TGCACTTACTTATGCACTTACTAACTCATGCACTTACTTACTTACTTATTTACTTACTTACTTACTTACTTACTTACCTATTTACTTACTTACTTACTTACTTACTTACTTACTTACTTACTTACTTACTTACTGACTTACTTACTTACTTACTTACTTACTTACTTGCTTGCTTACTTACTTACTTACTTATGCACTTACTTACTTACTTACTTATGCACTTACTTACTTACTTACTTACTTACTAACTTTCTTACTTACTTACTTATTTACTTACTTACTTACTTTCTTACTTACTTACTTATGCACTTACTTACTTACTTACTTACTTACTTACTTACTTACTTACTTACTTACTTACTTATGCACTTACTTACTTACTTCCAGTATTCTCCTCCTGAAGCCCCTTTGGGCTACTGCCGGCTCCAAGACCGAATGAAGGAGTAGAGTTGGGAATGGGATTGGCGACCCCATGCTATGAAAGATTAACTTGCTATAAAGAGAAGCCAACCAGAAAACATGTTTCAAGAAGAAATATCATTGCAGAATAATATGAACTGATTTATTTTGTGGATTCTCCTCATGTTACTTCAAAATGTATTTATCAGTTTTCACATATGAACCAGAGCACGTATATTGGAAGAATAGAAAGGAAGATTTTTGTCTGCATCTCCGGATATATTTCAGCAAGATTGAAACTCAATCGTTCGTCAGCTGCTCAATGGTGGTCCTGATGTTTAATTCCCTCCTGGATCCTTCAAAATGATCAGTAAACAAAGGAATTCAAAATTCCTACACACTAGAATAAAAAGATTCAAATCGAATTTATATATATCCAAAAGAAAACATTTATTACCTCTTGTTTTGCCCTGGCAGTTTTGATTTTCTGTGAATTTATCACGTACAACTGCATCTTATTCTTTCCATATATAACCATTGAAAACCTGGAAGCACTAGACGGCCTTTTCGTCTTAGCCTTGGCCTCATCAGCAATGCTCATCCACTACCTCTCAGTTCCTCAGTCGCGCGCAATCAATCACTGTTTTTACCACCATTAGCGATATGAAGACACTAGAAGGCCGTTTCGCCCTAGTACGAGACTCGTCAGCAGTGCATATTCACGTCTCCCTATCGCGCGAATCAAATCCAAGACCTTCGGTCTCGCATGCAAACGTTTCAGTTCTAGACCACTAAGCCGACATCCAACGGTGTTATTGTTTAACTATGATCAATCTGAGGATTTTGTGCAACCTGATCCATTAATCTTCGGTAGTTACTGCCTACACCCGACAGAATTGAGCTCCGCTGGTCAAGTCTTCTTACGAAAATCCTGAGAATTTCCTCACTAAATCTAGATTAATCAGAGTTGGACATTGAAACATCTAGATGTCGGCTCACTGGTCTAAATGTTAAGTGTTTGCGTGCGAGCTACAAGTTTCAAGGTTCGATTCCCACAAGAAAAAGTCATGGGCCGCTGATGAGTCCCATACTAAGACGAAAAGACCATCCAGTACCATTTCCAAGTTTCCGATAGTGATCTAACAATGATTTATTAATGACTTTATTGTAAAACAACGATCTTCATAATACTGTAAACAGGTTGTGAGCATCTGAGTAGCTTGCACGGAATAAGTGATATTAGTTCTTTCTTTATTCAACTCTTCAATAATTGAAAACGATAAGGAAAATCATTCACCTACTGTAACAGTTTCAAAATCTTCACTCTATCTATCTCTTCCTAGATTCGCTTTTCAGATACTCTGAATCTCATGTTTACATGATTACTAAATGTTATTCTTTATACTACTGTTGTTGCATTTTTTGTACGTTTACTGAGTCATCGTCAGCTTACCTCTTCTCATGTTCTTCTGTTTTCGAGTTCTTCCATGCTCTCTTAAGACAAAAGACATTTTCTGGATAGAATTGGATCGTTGTACTATTTCAAAATAATCTGCACCAATTATTTTTATCATTATTGTCGAAAACATTCGTCTTCTCTCTCCAAAATAAAAAAAAAGTTTACTTTAGAATTCCCTCTAATCGCTCTATTAAAAGTACTTTAATATTTCAATTTATAATTATATGATATCGATTTCAAAAGTTCAATGTTGCTAATAACAACTTTGCCAATTTGATTCGCGCCAAATTAATTTTCACTTTCCTTTGTTTAAATGAATCAAAAAAAATATCACGTAACCAAGTAACCAGCACAAAGAACCAATAGAAAATTGAATTCATTGAATTCATTGTTATTCGTTCAATCAATTCATAGTTATTAACCTATTCAAGTTATTGATTTTTTCTCCGAAAATTGATCGTCTGTTTATTGGTTTGTTGTTTTGTTTAAACAAAAACCCAGTGTGTGTGTGTGTGTGTAGTTGATTGAATCTATGAGTTGAATGAACTTTGAATTCTCTACATCATTCAAACATTGAACCGCGAGTATAATAAGCAGATAGATTTGATTGATGTAATTTTTTTTTTAACTAAATAGTAAATTATGTCAAGAGGATTTCCAGCTGATACAAGATCACAAAAAGTTCTGGAAGAAGTTTATGAAAAAGAAACTATTTCACAATTAAATTGGTTTTTAAAATGTCAAGAAGCTAAAAAATTGCATGGTTCTGAACCATTAACAGCGACAGTGATAAATGATACACCATTACCGGATATTTCAAATATTCTGTCGAAATCAAATAAACAACAAATTGAGAAGGACAAAGAAGAAATTGAACAATCGAAACAAACGGATTCAAGTGAAAAAAAAGAAACGCAAGAAGAGACTGCTGAAAAAACATTTGATGTTGGACCAGATATGATTCCACCATCACCGGATGTGTTGAAATTGTTGTATGAAGGAATATCAACTGAAGGGAAAGGACGGTAAGTTTTTGTTCGATTATATATAGTATGTATGTTATTTAATTTGTTAATGAGATTTTCACTCATAATTTTTTTTAAATCATACGATAATCATTGAAAAAGATAAATGTTACTTTAGAAAGCTTAAACCAGAGAAATTACTTTATTTCACATAATAATTATTCATGAATTCACTGATAACTGGACTGAGCTATGTTGGTGTAGGTGTAGACTACCTGGCTGGAGTCCGCGAGACGGTAATAACCGATGGTTAGAGACGTTGTATGACATGGCTCAAAATCGTTTGCAATGGCTCAGGTGCATCCACTCGTTGTGTTCTATGAACTTCTAATCTTCTGATTCCTTATCACCTCTACCTTTCTCTTATTAAGTTTATTTCACTAGATGATACTTCTTGAATGATACAGTTGAACCCTAATCTCTTCGAGTACTGATAATGCTTCTACAGTTGCGTGTCTGTGCTAATCTGGTGTGGTAACTTGAATTGATGTACATATGTGCGTACGAAGTTCTATGCTGTAGCTGACTGATTGATTTCACATGATTACAAGCAGTCACACAGTGATTTCAAGGTAGTGACTGATAACAAGAAAGCAAATCATATATTTAATAACCAATAGTCAAAATGCTACAAACGATTCACAATACTATCAAAACCAGGAAAAGTTTGCAACAGCGTTCTACTAAACCGAATTAGTGATTCAGTAGACGCTATAAACTTCAAGAATAAAAGGCTAGATTCCGTAAAGATCTATCGTGTAATGACTAAATTGCGAGACTATGGGTCATAGTGGATCGATCAATTGAATGGCACTTACAACTTGACGGAGTGGAGAGGAGAATATTATGGAGACTTCTTCGACACTACGGTTTACCTGAAAAGATGGTCAGCATCATACTAAATTCTTACGAAGGACTATATTGCAAGACCGTGCATGGAGGACGGCTCATTGACCTGTTCCAAGTGAAGACCGGTTTCAGATGAGGTTGTCCACCTTTCTCTTTGCGGTTGACTGGATTATGGAGACATCGACATCTAAGTGGAATCGAGAGATACATTGGACAGGTAGGATGCATCTAGACAAAATGGACTTGGCTGACCACCACCTAACTTTTCTAACCTACTCGCTGCAACAAATGCAGGTGAAGACAGTCTCCATAGCATCATATTCTGCGGCAATAGATCTCAACATACACAAGAGACCAAGCAAGATCCTCCAATACATTACAACTTACACCAACCAAATCACACTTGACAGCTAGACAGACTTTCTCTTTCATTGTTGCCTTCTTGTCCAAAGAGTTTGTTCATATATCGCGCTCATATCTCAGACTGCATTTCGTAACACACATCACTCAGTCCAGCTGTCAAAATGAAAATTAACATTTATAGTGAAAGCCTACTACATTTACAACATCCAAAGAATATATGCATATTGAAACATATTGAAGCATATTGAAACGAAACTTAGATACACTACTAGACATTTATAAACAGAAAAATGACTAACCATCGACTGCCTCGACGAGTGATATTTTGTGGTGTAGGAGTAGGTCGGAACAAAGCTAGGGGCGGCCAAACCAAAACATGGCACAAATCCATGAAGTCACTGACATATGGACTGAGTCATGTTGGTAGATGTAGACTACCTAGTTGGGGTCCGTGAGATGATAGTAACCGATGGTTACAAACCTTAAACAACATGGTTCAGAATCGTTTGTATTGGCGGAGGTACATCCACTCGTTGTGTTCTATAAAATTCTAATCTTCTGAATACGTCATCATCCTTAACCTTTCACTTTCTAAATTTATCTCACTGAATTATACTTCTTGAATAATATCTTCAAACCCTAGTCTTCTTAGTTACAAGTAATTCTTCTACTATCTCTACCACTATGTGATTTGAATTAACAATTGCGTCTCTGTGCTAATGTGGTATGGCAACATGAACTGATATACTTACGTACGAAGTTCTACGTTGTAACCGACTGACTGACTGAAGCAGAAAAAAATTATCTTCACTAAAAAATTCCATGTTAGCAAAACTAATTAGTATATGTAATCCACAGTGTTTGGACATTATCTGTCTGGAAGGTTGCACGAAAACAGAACAAATTCTAATACTCATTTCTGACGAACACATTCATTCTTGTCTATTTCTGTCTATAAAGCTAATCTAACGAGTATATTTTATTATGATAGAACAGTGAGAAGACGTAATCGATCTAAAAAAATGTTGTGATGTATTTACGCCCGATACATTTCTAACAATCTGGTCACACATATATGCATCTGTCAAGTCATTTTATATGATGACTAATGAAAGGTCAGTTCAATAAATAAATTATCGACAAGGCTGAATTTAACATGTTAAAACCCACCAGTTCTGATCTACTGAATTTATATGGATTACCCAAAAGTCTTGAACCTAATAATCCACTAAGATCAATATGTGAGGCTCACTGACGCATAAGCTAGCCAAATGGTTAACGAAATTACTCAACCCAACCCTTAATAAATTGTGTAAGTTTTCCCTCAAAGATATATTTGAACTAAATGATGTTCTTGATGACATGAGTAAGGAAAGACGATGCATTCTTAAGGTGTAAACTCCCTTTTCATGAATGTACCTCTAATTAAAACGGTTGACTTTCTTTGTGACTATATATGGAGTAATTTCCTTCTTTTTAATATTCGGTCAACATTACTAAGAGAACTACTTTTATTAGGTACTGAAAAAGTTCATTTCATGTTCGATGATGAACGTTTCCAGCACGTTGATGGCGTTGCTATGGGTAGTCCTTTGAGACCTCTCTTAGCTGATGTTTACATGACATATTTTGAAAATTTATGGAATGAGCCTATCAATCAAGTTACTCTGTATAGGAGATAGGTGGATGATATTTTAGCTATAAGCGATAAAGAACATAATGTCTCTCACTTATTGAATAATTTCAATAGTATTCAGAACGACATAGTCCTAACAGATGAAGCAGAAAGTAATAACCAACTACCTTTTTTGGACATACTGTTGAGTCGAAAGGAGAATGGAAACTATAAAGCGTTCTATTTATATAAAAACCAACCTGGACTGGGCAGTACTTAAATTTCAGCAGTTTTTGTCCACTGCAACACAATAGAGACTTGGTAAAATGCCTCTTCAATAGGGCTTAAAGAATTCGCACCACGGTTACATCTGAAGACGATGCGAAATTCTTGACTGAAACATTGATTTCAAACGGTTACCCGCTAAAGTTCATCAGTAGGTGTAGAAATCAGTCAAGACAAAAGCCTGTTTTCTATTCTTCTGAAAAGAAAAATGTCTATATAATTCTACAATTTCAAGGCGAATCGATTGGTGTAATCCTAAGACATAGACTAAAAACAGCCATAGAGAAAACATACAACGCTGCTAAACTGATTATCATTGAAAACGCCAAGTCCATGATTTCACGTATACCTAAAACGTTGCTCGAATGATTACATCACATCCTATTGCATTTAGCAATTTACATGTTTGTGTGGACACATATACATAGGTAGGAGTAGTCGAACGTTGTAATCATGGGTTAAGAAACATGTACCGAAGTGGCTTCAAAATCAGTTAACGTCAAATGACCTGATAAACGTCGGAAGTAGGAAACCATGTTCATCTATTGTAAAACACAATTAAAACAGGGCATAAGATTTACATCAATGCATCCTTCAACACATTGTGTAGAAACGTTGAAGGGACGAATTCTTGAACTTTATGGAAACCTTGGTTATTCATAAATTAAAACCGAGTACATAAACAACTTGTTATAGGCTTGAATTTACCCTAGTAATCTTTAAATTATGGCCTAGGGGGTAATGTGACAATATCCTAACCCTTTCCTATTCTTTCTGTATTATGTTAATTTTCTCTCCCCTTCATTTAAAACTATCACCTTGTCTATTTGAACTGATGTTTAATAGACCTTTTATTAATCTTCATATAAAATACCTTGACAAGTGTATATGAGTGTGACCAGATTGTTCGAAATGTATAGGGCGTAAAAACACATCACAACATTTTTTTAGATCAGATTACGTCTTCTCACTGTTCTATCAAAATTTATCAAAAAGGGACCAATTTCTTTTAAATGGTATTTTTTTTAATTACAAATAGTCAGGAGTTATTAAACAGTTTTATTAAAAATCTAACCACATACATGAATTCTAACGTATTTCAAAGTAGAAAGACAGATTCGTAGACATCAAACCACCGTGAAACATACTGATGATGTTGTTCAGAGTTATACAATAAAAGCTTTCCAAAACAGTGGTTACCTTTGATAAATTTGAACAGAGAAATGAGAAGACATATTTTGTGAGATAGTACCATTTCGTGCTTTCTCGTCAGTCACATACAAGCAACATGTTATTTGTGTAAATACAGTACTGAAGATAAGGTCAAAATTCATGGGAATATTCATGGGAATGATAGAAAGGCAAGTGAGTAACTTCGTCGATGGTATTACACTTTACAAACGATATGTCGACGATATTCTTGTCATATTACCACATTCTGAAGATATTAATGAAGTTAAGGGTTTATTTAATGCGATTCACCCGAATCTGAAAGTCACTTATGAGGAAGAAAAGAATAATGAACTAGCCTTCCTCGATATCCTCCTCCATCGCCGTCCAGACGGATCAATCAGACGAAAAGTACACCGCGAACCCACCTAGTCAGGACAGTACCTCCACTTCACTAGTTTCTGCCCCATACAATATAAACGTTCTGTTGTCAAAACTTTATTCGCTCGAGCAAGTAGAATCTGCACTGCTGATACATTGAACGACGAATTCAAGCTTATTACTGACACACTTAAATCAAACGGATATCCCGAAACGTTTATTGGTCATCAGAACACAACTACGACGAAGCTGATAGCAACTGATGTGCCCAATAAACCAGTGTACCTACAGTTACCTTTCAAGGATGATCATTGCATGAAAATTACAACCAAACAGACTGCAGCTGCAATAAAAAAGACCTTCAATGCAGTTAATCTGAGGCTTATCACCACAACTCAATCGATCTCAGTTACCCCAATCAAGTCTCCAAGACCGATTCAGTACAAATCCCACTGTATTTACCAATTCACATGTAAATGCGGAGAAAGTTACTTGGGGAGGACAGATCGCCGATTGGAAGACAGGATAGGGGACATATTCCAAAATGGCTTAATCAAATCCATGATTCATCAACCTAGCCCATCATTTCAAAATCGGATCAAGAAACCCAGCCTCGTCCATTGCAAAAACATCTAATGATGAGTGGTCATCAAATTGACCCAAAATCGCCTTTAGAGTTGTGACATGTAATCAAAACCCACCACCACACTGAAACTACTCGAAGCTATCTTGATTGGTCGAAAAGTCCACCAATTTATGTGTTCAAAAACAACTGTAGTTGACCTTTGTTTACCATGGTTCTAGTGAGTGAATGATGCTAAATAAGAAAATTTTGACCTTATATTCAAAACTGTATTTACACAAATAACATGTTGCTTGTATGTGTTTGACGAGAAATCACGAAATGGTACTATCTCACAAAAATATGTCTTTTCATTTCTCTGTTCAAATAAAAGCTTTACTTAAACAGCACGATACCGTTAAATAAATACACTGATATGATTTACAAATATGCTCTCTTATTTGAAAGTCATACTAGTTAGTGTTAACCATTTTGACTTGACTTGCATCGCATCTATCTGGTTTCCACTGAATTATTGTAATTAATCATGTATGTGTGATCAGTGAGTCGTCTCAACCCATAAGCTCAATGATGATCGTCTTCAGTTTGTTGACTTAACAACCTCGTGCACAGCTTAAAAATTATGTCCAAAACGTTTTTCTCTGATTTTCTGATTTTTCTAGATACCGTTATCTTCGTGATCGTTGTAAACTGAATGTAGAAGACAGATTCCAATATCCTATACTTAGTTCAATGGAATATGGTTGGGGTCATGCACAACAGTGAGCACGTGACTCTCTCTCATTTTCCTCTCAACTTTTTTTTTTTGTGCGCTCTTTTTTTTTTAGTTGTGTGGTAAATGAGAGAGAGTCACGTGCTCACTGTTGTGCATGACCCCAACCATATTCCATTGAACTAAGTATAGGATATTGGAATCTGTCTTCTACATTCAGTTTACAACGATCACGAAGATAACGATACCTAGAGAAGCGGAAAATCAGAGTAAAGCGTTTTGGACATAATTTTTAAGCTGTGCACGAGGTTGTTAAGTGAACAAACTGAAGACGATCATCATTCAGCTTATGGGTTGTGACGACTCGCTGATCGCGTACATGATTATTTATTGTAATTCAGTGGAAACCAGATAGATGCGATGCAAGTCAAGTCAAAATGGTTAACACTAACTAGTATGACTTTCAAATAAGAGAGCATATTTGTAAATCATATCAGTGTATTTATTTAACGGTATCGTGCTGTTTAAGTAAAGCTTTTATTTGAACAGAGAAATGAAAAGACATATTTTGTGAGATAGTACCATTTCGTGCTTTCTCTTCAGTCACATACAAGCAACATGTTATTTGTGTAAATACAGTTTTGAAGATAAGGTCAATATTTCTTATTTAGCATGACATTCACTCACTAGAACCATGGTAAACAAAGATCAACGTGCAGTTGTTTTTGAACACATAAAGTTGGACTTTTCCGACCAATCAAGATAGCTTCGAGTAGTTTCAGTGTGTGTGGGTTTTGATTACATGTCACAACTCTAAAGGCTGATTTTGGATCAATTTGATGACCACTCATCATTAGATGTTTTGCAATGGACGAGGCTGGGTTTCTTGATCGATTTTGAAATGATAGGCTAGGTTGATGAATCATGGATTTGATTAGCCATTTTGGAATATGTTCCCCTATCCTGTCTTCCAATCGGAGATCTGTCCTCCCTAAGTAACTTTCTCCGCGGTTACATGTGAATTGGTAAATACAGTGGGATTTGGACTGAATCGGTCTTGAGACTTGATTGGGGATACCTGAGATCGATTGATTTGTTGTGATAAGCCTCAGATTAGCTGCAATTGAAGGTCGTTTTATTGCAACTGCAGTCTGTTTGGTTGTAATTTTCATGCAATGATCATCCTTGAAAGGTAACTGTAGGTACACTGGTTTCTTGGGCACATCAGTTGCTATCAGCTTCGTCGTAGTTGTGTTCTGATGACCAATAAACGTTTCGGGATATCCGTTTGATTTAAGTGTGTCAGTAATAAGCTTGAATTCGTCGTTCAATGTATCAGCAGTGCAGATTCTACTTGCTCGAGCGAATAAAGTTTTGACAACAGAACGTTTATATTGTATGGGGCAGAAACTAGTGAAGTGGAGGTACTGTCCTGACTAGGTGGGTTCGCGGTGTACTTTTCGTCTGATTGATCCGTCTGGACGGCGATGGAGGAGGATATCGAGGAAGGCTAGTTCATTATTCTTTTCTTCCTCATAAGTGACTTTCAGATTCGGGTGAATCGCATTAAATAAACCCTTAACTTCATTAATATCTTCAGAATGTGGTAATATGACAAGAATATCGTCGACATATCGTTTGTAAAGTGTAATACCATCGACGAAGTTACTCACTTGCCTTTCTATCATTCCCATGAATATTCCCATGAATTTTGACCTTATCTTCAGTACTGTATTTACACAAATAACATGTTGCTTGTATGTGACTGACGAGAAAGCACGAAATGGTACTATCTCACAAAATATGTCTTCTCATTTCTCTGTTCAAATTTATCAAAGGTAACCACTGTTTTGGAAAGCTTTTATTGTATAACTCTGAACAACATCATCAGTATGTTTCACGGTGGTTTGATGTCTACGAATCTGTCTTTCTACTTTGAAATACGTTAGAATTCATGTATGTGGTTAGATTTTTAATAAAACTGTTTAATAACTCCTGACTATTTGTAATTAAAAAAAATACCATTTAAAAGAAATTGGTCCCTTTTTGATAAATTTTGATAGAACAGTGAGAAGACGTAATCTGATCTAAAAAAATGTTGTGATGTGTTTTACGCCCTATACATTTCGAACAATCTGGTCACACTCATATACACTTGTCAAGGCATTGTTTATGAAGATTAATAAAAGGTCTATTAAACATCAGTTCAAATAGACATAAGATGATAGTTTTAAATGAAGGGGAGAGAAAATTAACATAATACAGAAAGAATAAGAAAGGGTAGGAAATTGTCATGTTACCCTAGGCCATAAAATGGTTTAAAGATTACCAGGGAAAATTCAAGCCTATAACAAGTTGTTTATGTACTCGGTTTTAATTTATGAATAACCAAGGTTTCCATAAAGTTCAAGAATTCTTCCTTCAACGTTTCTACACAATGTGTTGAAGGATGCATTGATGTAAATCTTATGACCTGTCTCAATTATGTGTTTTGCGATCGATGAACATGGCCTTATATTCCCCCCGTTTATCAGGTCATCTGAAGTTAACTGATTTTTAAGCCACTTCGGTACATGTTTCTTAACCCATGATTACAACGTTCGACTACTCCTACCTATGTATGTGTGTCTACACATACATGTAAATTGATAAATGCAATGGGATGTGATGTAATCATTCAAGCAACGTTTAGGTATATGTGAAATCATGAACTTGGTCTTTTCGATGATAATCAGTTTAACAGCGTTGTATATTTTCTCTATGGCTGTTTTTAGTCTCTGTCTTAAGATTACACCAATCGATTCGCCTTGAAATTGTAGAATTATATAGACATTTTTCTTTTCAGAAGAATAGAAAACAGGCTTTTGTCTTAACTGATTTCTACACCTATTGATGAACTTTAAGGGATAACCGTTTGAAATCAATGTTTCAGTCAACAATTTCGCATCGTCTTCAGATGTAACCGTGGTGCGAATTCTTTAAGGCTTTATTGAAGAGGCATTTTGCTAAGTCTCGCTTGTGTTACAGCAGATAGAAACTGCTGAAATTTAAATACTGCCCAGTCCAGGTTGGTTTTTATATAAATAGAACGCTTTATAGTTCCATTCTCCTTTCGACTCAACAGTATGTCCAAAAAAGGTAGTTGGTTATTACTTTCTGCTTCATCTGTTAGGACTATGTCGTTCTGAATACTATTGAAATTATTCAATAAGTGAGAGACATTATGTTCTTTATCGCTTATAGCTAAAATATCATCCACCTATCTCCTATACAGAGTAACTTGATTGATAGGCTCATTCCATAAATTTTCAAAATATGTCATGTAAACATCAGCTAAGAGAGGTCTCAAAGGACTACCCATAGCAACGCCATCAACGTGCTGGAAACGTTCATCATCGAACATGAAATGAACTTTTTCAGTACCTAATAAAAGTAGTTCTCTTAGTAATGTTGACCGAATATTAAAAAGAAGGAAATTACTCCATATATAGTCACAAAGAAAGTCAACCGTTTTAATTAGAGGTACATTCATGAAAAGGGAGTTTACACCTTAAGAATGCATCGTCTTTCCTTACTCATGTCATCAAGAACATCATTTAGTTCAAATATATCTTTGAGGGAAAACTTACACAATTTATTAAGGGTTGGGTTGAGTAATTTCGTTAACCATTTGGCTAGCTTATGCGTCAGTGAGCCTCACATATTGATCTTAGTGGATTATTAGGTTCAAGACTTTTGGGTAATCCATATAAATTCAGTAGATCAGAACTGGTGGGTTTTAACATGTTAAATTCAGCCTTGTCGATAATTTATTTATTGAACTGACCTTTCATTAGTCATCATATAAAATGACTTGACAGATGCATATATGTGTGACCAGATTGTTAGAAATGTATCGGGCGTAAATACATCACAACATTTTTTTAGATCGATTACGTCTTCTCACTGTTCTATCATAATAAAATATACTCGTTAGATTAGCTTTATAGACAGAAATAGACAAGAATGAATGTGTTCGTCAGAAATGAGTAGTATTAGAATTTGTTCTGTTTTCGTGCAACCTTCCAGACAGATAATGTCCAAACACTGTGGATTACATATACTAATTAGTTTTGCTAACATGGAATTTTTTAGTGAAGATAATTTTTTTCTGCTTCAGTCAGTCAGTCAGTTACAACGTAGAACTTCGTACGTAAGTATATTAGTTCATGTTGCCATACCACATTAGCAAAGAGACGCAATTGTCAATTCAAATAATATAGTGGTAGAGATAGTAGAAGTATTACTTGTAACTAAGAAGACTAGGGTTTGAAGATATTATTCAAGAAGTATAATTCAGTGAGATAAATTTAGAAAGAGAAAGGTTAAGGATGATGACGTATTCAGAAGATTAGAATTTTATAGAACACAACGAGTGGATGTACCTCCGCCAATACAAACGATTCTGAACCATGTTGTTTAAGGTTTGTAACCATCGGTTACTATCATCTCACGGACCCCAACTAGGTAGTCTACATCTACCAACATGACTCAGTCCATATGTCAGTGACTTCATGGATTTGTGCCATGTTTTGGTTTGGCCGCCCCTAGCTTTGTTCCGACCTACTCCTACACCACAAAATATCACTCGTCGAGGCAGTCGATGGTTAGTCATTTTTCTGTTTATAAATGTCTAGTAGTGTATCTAAGTTTCGTTTCAATATGCTTCAATATGTTTCAATATGCATATATTCTTTGGATGTTGTAAATGTAGTAGGCTTTCACTATAAATGTTAATTTTCATTTTGACAGCTGGACTGAGTGATGTGTGTTACGAAATGCAGTCTGAGATATGAGCGCGATATATGAACAAACTCTTTGGACAAGAAGGCAACAATGAAAGAGAAAGTCTGTCTAGCTGTCAAGTGTGATTTGGTTGGTGTAAGTTGTAATGTATTGGAGGATCTTGCTTGGTCTCTTGTGTATGTTGAGATCTATTGCCGCAGAATATGATGCTATGGAGACTGTCTTCACCTGCATTTGTTGCAGCGGTAGGTTAGAAAAGTTAGGTGGT